TTCACATTCCCTTTTGTCTTCTCAGATGCTAATTGCAGATCACCCTCTGGTTTTGAGAGCCACTTCATGGCTTCAAGGGTTTCTTCACTAAAGGTGAAGACCTGCAAACACACACAAAATAAAACAGCATTACAGTGGTATGAAGGCTGTTCCCACCAAAACACCCTGGGATTGTTATAATAATTGCCAAATCAACAGTATAGAGCTGGGCAAACCAGGGTTACTCTTTTGTTTAGAAGGAATGTGGCAGCATAAAGATGGGAAGTGCATAAAGTCATGTGTGGGGTACCCCAAGGTTACAGCACAGAAGCAAGCAAGGATCAGCTTTTAAAAAAACCTGCTCAGAGCATTTCCCTGCCATCGTGCACTAGGATTCATCCTGTCATTTAACTGCTGCAGGCACACTGGAGTAGTGAGAGTGGGTACAGGGAACTGAGGGGAACCACTGTAAACAAAGTCCATCACTGGTTTTCTTTGGGATACCTTCTTTTCTGCTCCCCTCTCTAACCATGTTTGGGATGAGTAAGGGAACTCGACCTGAGCAAAGCATCGGGATTTGCAGCTGCTTTGCTTCACCAAAGGAGCCCAGAGCAGCAGCAGGCCCCTGGTTTGTGATGAGAGTGAGTTGGGCTTGGGGCTGTGCAAGGGGAAAGGGCTGCTCCTCCTTTTCATGTCTGCCAAGACCTCTCTTTGCATGCCTGAACTTGCTGGAGCAGAGTCTGTGGAGAAGGAGCCTCAGAGGCTTGTCAGGCACTCGTGCCTGGGTTAATCTGCAGCCACAGACTCCGTAAAGAGGACAGGCAGCAGGGCCTCAGAGCACCCACTTTTCTCTGTTTCATCCATCTTTCTTAGTGTACAGAGTCTTTTCAATGAAACACAGAGGAAGGCAGTGTTTTTATGCACTTCTGAACCAGTTAGAGGTTATCTGAACCACATTGAGGTTATCTGGGCATCTATCTAGCAGGACCTTTCTGTCATCAGTGCGTTCACAGGAGTCACTGATTTAAACACAAAGCATTTCACATGTAGCACAGGACATTTGCTGGGGTTTGGCTCCATGGAAAGTCTGGGGAGGATCTTATTCCTCATTGGTGAAACCACCTAGGATAAAGACAAGATCAAGGGCGTGTGTCTAGTCTTTTAAGGATTCAGCTTTTCAAAATGTCTTGATTTTTGACTCATTGTCTGTTTTGCTTGGAAATCCCTGTAACTGCATTGCCCTCAAAGGATAAATCATGCAAGTTTGGGGTGAATGTGCTCTTCACAGAAAATGAGGGGTCTGAGCTGCAGAATTACCTGCAGAGTGGCAATCCCAGGTGCATGGTCCTAGGCAAAGTCAGTGATGCTATTAATTTATGAGTCGAGATACCAGCTGCTGTTGCAAAAATAAATAGGGAACCAGAAGGAAAAAAAAAGCAAAGCAAGGCTCAGAAGGGCAGAGAAATGGGGAGTGCAGGGGAAAAAGAATGCCTTTGGAGCTTTGGTTCACCAGGACTTATCTGGAGGTTTCCAACAGTTTGAGGCTGCTTCTCCAGAGCATTGCTAGGTCTTCAGCTGCCTTTTTCTGTCAAATGTCTCTGCAAGACTTCTGTGCCAGAGGAAATCTGCTCTCATGTGCTGTCTGACTGCACGTGTGGTCAGGATAACAAAGCTCTCTGTGGCTGGGGAATTTCTGAGTCAAAGCTTGGGCAAAGAGTGCAGGAAATAGGGATACAGGCTCAACAGCTCTCCTGACTCTTTGGAGCGGACAGGAAGGAACAATTCTCCTCTCTACTCCTTTCTGTTCCAGTTAGCCCTGCTGTATGGGGCATCTGCAGCACAGGCATACCTTGAATGCAGCAAGCTTTTCTGCCCAGGGAAGAGAAAGTCGCCCTTCCATCAGTTCAGCATTGCCACATGCCACAGGCTTCCAGTGATGGAGTGATATGTATGCACGGCAAGAGAGTGGGTGGACTTCAGAGGGGTGGGAAGAGGAGGGATCTTTTTCTAGAAAAGGCATTAAAAATGATTTCCATAGCTTCCCCACAGCCTGGCTGCAGAGAGCATTCAGCACAGAAACGGCACAGAACTGGATTTTCATTTTTGCTTTGCAGTTCACCTCTGAAGTGAAAGGGGACTTTTGTAGGGCTGAATGACTCTTCATGGACTTTGGTTCCTTCAGGCTTGCAGTGTTCAGGTTGCAGTTTCAAGGGTGCAGAGCCTTTTAAGGGTAGTCATGACATCAGCAGGAGTTTCCAGCCCCTGCACATGTACTCCCGAGAAAGTTTTTGTTCTCCTTTTGGTTGCAAAGGAGACTCTGAGGGGCAAGGTAGGGAGAACCTCATGCAACTCATGACGTGATGTCACCCTGACATTTACTGTACACCTACTCTTCCCCTATTGCTGCAAAAGGAAATAGAAAATGATCTTTATCGGTCCCAAAGTTTGACTGGATGTTTGACTGGCTGCTCTTTCGAGTCTCTCCAATAATAGTAAGAGCTGCACTGTGAGAACAAGCAAAGATGTGGTCAAAGATAAAAACACATGTACACACAAACACACACAGAGGTGCAGGAGAAGCGACTTCAGCAATCACAGCCTGAAGCGGGCTGCTTTTAAGGTGAACAGAAGGAAATACTTTCACACACAGCGTGAAATCAAAGTGCACAAGTCATTGCCAGAGGATGTTGTGAATGCCAAAAATATACGTGCATTCCTGAAAGGGCATTCCTGAAAGGGCAAGAACTCTTCCTGCAGGGTCTAGTAGTAGCAATTTAAATGCTGATGTCAAGAAATCCTGAATTTCAGGCTGCAAAGGTTGGCAAGACAAGGCAGTTTTTCTCCTGTGTGAAAGAATTAGTTTTTCTCCCATTTTGTTACCAGTTGATGGCTGACAGAGGTCAGTCTGCTGAGCAGCTCCTGGCCTCCCCCAGCTTGGTTGCTCAGGATCTGCAGTGCATTATAAGGGAAAGTACAAGGAAGTGGGGGGGAAATATTGAAACTTTCCCTTTGGAAAACCAGTGGAGTGGCCTGTAGAGGGAAACCAGCTGAACAAGTTTTTCATTTAATTCCATATTCTATTTTATTTAACTAATATTAAAACATTCTATAGTGTCACCAGGACCTCCACAGTAATTTTTTTTTGTGTGTTTCCTACAGATTTAATGTCAAGTATACAAGTAGGACAGGGGTGGGTGTGTGGCTGGGGAGGGGAGTGAAATTTATTTCACAGAATCACAGAATCATTTAGGTTGGAAAAGACCTTTAAGTTCTTTGAGCCCAACCTTTAACTCAGCCCTGCCACGTCCATCTACAAACCATATCCCTAAGTGCCACATCTACATGTCTGTTAAATGTTCTGTCCCAGGCTTTGTGTCTGGGCTTTACTCCAGCAAGCAGCCCCAAGCTCCAGCTGTGGCAGGGCACTGGCTGAGCATCTGCTCCTCTCCCTCCAGCACTGGCAGCTGTGGGATTGTGAGCAAATCACCGGGCTGTGCCACAGGGGTCTTGCTGTGACAGTGGCCCCAGGGTCTGTGAGTCACCCCAGGGTCTGTGGTGGCTGCCTTGGACACGGGCTGGATGTGAATGCCGCAGCACCCTGGTCACAGCCTGAGTGCTGCACTCTGCCTCTGCACAGCGTGGCTGCACTTAGGCTGGGACTAGAGAGTGAGCCAGAACCAGCCAGACTTTGCTGGGCAGTGGCAGTTCTGAGCTCAGCTCTGTGCATGGCTCAGCTCACACTTCGGGCTTTGCACGTGGGCCCTCCCCTGCGCCAATGGGGGATGCTGTGCTGTCCCCATCAGTGACAAACCTTCTGTCAGGACTTTCCAGCTTCCTCTCCCAGGTGTGTTTACTGAGGTGTGTTCTGCAGGGAAAGGAGAGGGAATCTGAATCTCTTCTGTCCTGAAGACAACTATTTCCTTGTTTTTCTGCTCTCAGTGGAGTGTAACAGATTGATATCCCACTTCCACCACTGGAGAGGAGTGCCTGGGCAGCAAGGCTGAGGCAAGCAGGACAGAGAGCAACCTGATCTTCTGGACTAACAAAGCCAGGTGCACATCATCCCCAGGCTTGCACTAACTCAGGTGCAGCAGAGGGCTCTGAGTCCATGCTGGGTCACCTTTCAGCAGCAGCAGGAACTCCTTGCTGGGCTGCTCCCTTGGACGTGGAAAGAGGAAGGAGTGGGAAAGCAAGGCGGATCACGAAAGCAGGGTGCTTAGTAGGGGAATTACTGCTCACATACTCAAAGTTGTACCTAATTTCACCCTGCAAGGGTCTCAACTTATTGTTGTCTGCACATGGCTGTACTCCAGGTATGGCACCAGCACAGTCACTGGCCAGGAGCTGGGGAACATCTGTGCTGGTTCCACGTCATCCCATGAGCTTTCATGAAGATAGATAAATTTGTTCTAGCTAGACTAGGCAAAACTGTTCATTTGCTAATGCTGGAAGGCTGATGATAGTGTGGCTGCAACCTTTGTGTATCATCGTAGGGTTAATTCTATTTTCTGGGATCTCGAATATTTTGGGGTTTTTTTCCTTTACAAAAAAATAACTACCAAAAACCCCCCAGCCCCTCTGAACAAATAGTCCACTGTGGCCCTGTTAGGCATGCAGAGAACCCACTGGAGAGTGACACAGATTTTCCAAACACCGGGCTCTGAAAAGGGAGAGCAGAGGAGATAGCAGTTTGTGCACGTATGTTTCCATCCCTGTTTTTAAAGGGGCCAGCAAAAATTCTGTCCAGGCAAGCAACTCTCCTGCCTTTGCCTTCAGCAATCCCTGCAGCAATGCTTGTGTGCCCTCTGGGTCACGATCCCGAGTAGGAGTGGAGCATGATGCACAAGGCAATGCCCAAGGATGGCTCCCCTCAGCGCAGAGCTGAAGCTGTCAAACAGCTCGGTGGCTGACTGATGAGGGATGTGAGCAGTCAGAGCCAAAAGGGGTGAGCTTTAGGCAACAGGTCCTGGCACAAGGCTGTACCGCTGACTCACTGACTTTTGTTTGCCCCTCCCCTGCAGGCCAAGCACTGGAGAAGAAAGTAGTCAGAAGCAAAGTGGGGGAAAAGGTCAGCCTGCCTTGTTGTCATGAGATCCCCAGCTCAGAAAGCCTACACAAGTACCGGGTCTACTGGCAGAAGAACATTACGGACGTGGTGCTGGCCTACTCGGAGGGGAGTAAGATCTTCCAGCACGAGCGCTACCAGAACCGGACAGAGATGGACCCCTGGAACCTCACCCTGTGGATCTCCCCCATGGAAATCCTGGACAATGGCTCTTACCAATGCGTGGTTCAGCGCAACTCAGTCCTCGTGTGTAGCGAGTCCGTCATCCTCTTTGTGACAGGTAGGTGGATTGCCTCCTGACACTTGAGGCTCTCCAGTGCCAGCCTCTGGGGGTGAAGGATGCTCTTCCAAGCTTATTCATCCTGTAGCAGATAGACTTTCATCAGGAAGCTTGAAAGAGTGTTACCTGCTTCCATTCCAGCAGCCTCCCTTCTTACCTTTCTAAAGCTACCCCAGGTACAGAAATTCTTTTCCCACCACCAACCCAACCTCCTCTCCTTGATGTCTTCCTCTTGAAAGGAAGGTGATAGGTGCCTGAGGCACCCCCTGCTGTCTTTGGGGCAAAACAAGACCAAGCCCTTAATGCCTGGCAAGCATTCAAGCTGAAAGAGAAATAGGGTGGCCATGGCAGCATCCCAGCCCTGAATCCAAATCCCTGTGGAACTAGCTGCACTGCAGCTCCACATCCTAAGGCTGAACCCATCATGGAGCTTTGAGGCTTTTTACATTAAAGAAGCTGAGTTCCTTTGTTCAAATGAATCTGAATCTTCTCTTAGAGGCCACAAAAAGTTCCACTGACATTTTCCATTTCCACCGGTGTTTTTGTGGCAATTGATTTCATTCAAAGACAGAGATACTGGTGAAAAAAAAAATTTTATATATATATATATATATATATATACATGCATTTGAATACCTTTAACAGCAGAGAGTTACATGAATCTTCCAGACAAGTCAGTGAAGGAGCATTCCTCATCTGGAAGGAGATTTGGCAACAACAAAAAAATACAAGCCCTGAGGTTTGGCCATTTCCTGCTGGTCTGAGGGCATATGGGCAAGGAGATAAATTTAGTGATCTTTCTGGGAACTGGCATGAAAAAAAGGGAAGTGTACTGCCAGCACCCTTTTTAAACCATGAGGGTTGAGGAGTTAACTGCATAAAACCCATAAAACTACGGATCTCTTTTCCTGTCCGCAAATACTCCAGTTTCTTTCCGCCCAGAAATCCCCTTGCTGTCTTTAACAGGCCAGCTGTAATAATTATGGTAGACTTCTGCTCCCTTTGGTGAAGTGGGATCAAGTGATTGTGGGGATCAGGAAAGGGAAATGCTGGAATCAGGCTGGGACATCTGAAGGGATTTTCCAGGCTGGATGGCAGTGTGGTATTGCTCAACAGACAGTGGGCCTGGAAGGAAAGCTGTCTCTCCTTGCTTGCCACTGCTCAGCCACACAAGTTCCTTTCAATAGGGACTGGTTGCTTGGTACCCTAGACCATAGGCAGGGAAAAACTTCCCGTGGTGAATGCCCTTCAGGTGGGGGAGTCTTTGCTTTGGCCGTGGGTTTTGGGGGCTGCAAACCTCGCTGTGGCCTGACAGAATGGTAACCAAACCTCTCTTGCTGCAGCTGACTTCAGCACTCCCAACATAACGGCAGAAGTGTCCGCCGAGTCTTGCGACTCGACTGAGATGGTGATAACGTGTTCTTCTCACGGAGGGTTCCCCAAGCCCAAAATCTCTGGAGCCCTCAACAACATGTCTGTGGAGTGGAATGCCAGCTGGGTGTCTGAGTCCAGCTTCAGCCCCTACAGTGTCACTGGAAAACTGGTGCTCAACGTGACCAAAGACGTCAACATCTCTTGCTCCGTTGAATACAGCGGCTTTGCCAAGTCCACCAGTTTGCTTCTGAGTATGTTTTATTAATGTTTTTGTAACAAATGCATTTTGTTGAATCTGCTGAGTTGCCTCTCTGAGAATGCAGTAGATTTTGTGCAAGTGTTCATGCAAGGATCACCCAATGATCCCGCCTGTGAACTACACACCAAAACATTTTAGAGGTTGGAAGATAGCTGGGGTGGGAAGGGAGAGTTACAACAGTGACTGCCAAGCAGAGACAGCTCTGTCTTCCTGCTGCTCTACTGCAGCTGGGCTGAGAGCTGAACTGGATCCTGCTGTGATCTGGTAATGTCACTTTTGGTGGCTCCCACTGGCTGCCACCATGCTGTGCCCCTCCATACCAGCATGGTCTTGCTGCCAGTGTGTGACACATAGCTGGTGTTTGAACAGAGGGACCAGAGAAACATGTGTGCTTTAACAGCCACAGGCTGCATTATAAAAGAATTTCCTCATTTAACAAGCATGTTTGTCCCTGCTTCAGTGAAAGAAACTGTCAACTGGGGTCTAGACAAAATTCTGCTTTCAAATGTAACACAGGGTTAACTCATATGAAAAGAATTCCATCACTGAGCATGGCTTAGAAATGATGGCATAATAGATAAGTCTGTGCTTTGAAAAGCTTGAAGCACAAGTGGAAACAGCATGAGGGAAGGCAGCACACTACATTCCAGATGTTTTGCAGTAGAAGGGGATTTGCAAGAAAATTCATGAAGCCAAAAGGATTTTTTTTTTTCATGTTGTTACCAAAAAAGTATTCTGAAATATCTCTGGCCTTGATGTTTTTATTGTAGAGATAAGGGCACCTTCAAGGGAAGACAAAGAAGCTGTAGTTTTCCTAGGGAATTGTACCTTATTCATCAAGGTAGCTTATTCATCTATCTTACTAAAATCAAAGGGGCTTGTGAGGAGAGGTGCCATTCAGCTTCTGAACAAATGCCAGGAACTAGTGCTTTGTGAATATTGGCTATTGCTGGATGTAGAGCATAATATCCCTAATGAAGGGAGAATAAGGTTATGAATAGCTCAATACATAGAAACAGAGAACAACCAAAAAAAAAAAAAAAAAAAAACAATCAGTAATCAGAGGAGGGTGCAGTCAACAGTGACACAGCCACAGCAGTCACAAACCCCCCACTTTTTTGACTTTTAGGATGTGGAACCACTCCCATTTTGGTGTAAATGGTCCTCCAAACAAACCTTTCATGAACACTGAGTTACAGACAGACCAGAGCCTCTGGTAAATGCAGAAGGCAACCCCTTGAGCTGCAGGTTTGCATCCCCTCCTGAGGGGAGGACTGAAGAGCAGATCAGGCTAATTAATGTCTTAGGAGGGGAATGATGCTTACCTGTGCCAGAGCAGATGGTGGAAGAACTGAAGGTCTGTGCACACAGGTCTGCAGACCTATGGGCTGGCAGCAAGTCCTGTCCTATACAAGAATGGCCCCGTATCTACTCTACAATCCCAGTGGTAGAATGGGATTTTCCACCATCTCCAATGGTGAAAAGCCAACGGTTCCGACACACTGAAAATTAACTCTGCCACAACACTGTTCCTGCCATGCAGAAAGAACTCTATTCTAGACTGTTAAATGCATTTTCCTTCACCTGTGAGGGAGACTGGAAAAGGAAAGGAAAAACATTAGGCATAAATCTGATGAAAACAGTAAGGAAAACTGCAAAGTACCTTTGAGAACAGAAATTTTCTAGCTCTGAACTCAGACTTTTTCACCAAGCCTAGCTAATTTCCCTGAAACAGCTCATGTGTCTTTAAATATTTCCTGTCTCAGTCCTGTTCTGGACAAAGACCCAGCTTTTTACGTTCTGTGAATGTGTTAAAAATTTCAGCCCATAGCAAATGTGGGTGAATGGAAGAAATTTAGGTGCCTGCTTTGTTTGTTTATTGAGTAAGTCCATTTTCAGGCTGAATAGCTGAGTTAGAATTTGGCCAGAACCCCTGAAATTCACATACCTGCTCTTACATGAAAATGCCAATATCCTTTAAGGCCGTTTATTTATGTTTTATTTCTCCTGTCTCAGAAAAAACAAAGAACTGCGTTGTTCCTCCTGTGCCTCCACCTTATAATGTCATTACTGCTTCAATTATCATCCTTATCACCTTCATTCTGGCTATCACCCTGGCAGCAAGATACCTCCCAAGGCATGGTAAGTGCAGCTTCTTTTTCAGCAAGGTGTCTCAGTGCTGATGAAGTTTCTATGTAGGATACACATTTATAGAAACTTTACTGTCACACTAGGTATTTCTGTACCTTCTTCTAATTTTTTTTCCCCTCTTTAGCATCCACTGTCACAAAATCTAAGTCTAGCTCATTATTTTCCTACGTTTTGTGTGCAAGAAACACAAAAGTTCAGGTTTGAGAGTGAAGAGGTGACAGGGAGTTTTGACAGCAGATCAAAATATTTCCAAAATCAGGGATAAGGAAGAGGTTCACAAAGGTTCATTTTTATGTCTTAAGATGCTTTAGGATGCCAAGAATCTTGGTGATCATGATAGAGACAACTGAGCACTGAGAGTTTCAAAACTGGATCTCTCTCCACACCCTACATCATCCCTCAGAAAGTCACTGAGGCAAAGTAACAAAAATACCTAGTGTTAGGGCCACAGGAAAGACTTCAGCAGAGCACTGTCCCACTTTTATGAGAACACCAACCAGGAGAGTTAGATTTGTATTCTTTGTACGGCCAAAAATGGCACAAATAAAGTGTCTGGTCCTATCTTATGAAGCCTTCAGTAACTCCAGACAAGTCTCCAAGAGTTTTTCAATGGCCAAGGGGACATCAAATATCTCAGGGTTAGTGGAGAGCTGAGTAATTTACTTTTTTATCTACAGAAAAATCCTATCTGTTAGCTGTTGCTCCTAATCATGTCTAAGCTGACCTTGCCAGAAAGTCCCTGAAGATGTGGGCAGGCATTTAATAGATTTATGAAGGCAGGTAGGATTGAAAGTCAGCAGCAGAAGGTGCCTTATCCACACCCTGTGAGCAGCTTTGCAGAGCAGTCCTGGAAAATGACAGCAGGCCTTGCAAATGCATGAGGATAAATAACACCCAGCTGAGTTCTGTCAGCTTCTGGGGAAGCCACATCTGGGGCCAAGAATCCCACACTGAGAGCTCTGTGCTCACTTACACCACCTGGCTGTGGTATTCCCTGTTGGAAAAGGTCATTTTCTGGGCAGCAAGGGCTCAGCCCACTCACAGACACCTGTAAGCTTGCCATGCTTGTGTCTTCTGATACCTCTGCTTCAATTTCAGACAAATTCACTCCCAAGGCAGATGTGTGGAGGTCTCATTACTATTTTTCTTTTCCCCTCCTCATCAACCACATCCCTTCAAAAACCAACATGACCATTGAGCCAAGCTGGGCTAATTTCCTTTCACTGTTTTACCACAAAGAAAGGAAATTTCTGGAAGGCTGTGACTCTGGGTCACACCCGTGCACCTCCTCATTTTCCACCCCTGTGCCCTTATGACACCAGTGCCAGTTCTTTCTCCCCTGCTGTTCCCTGGGGCTGTGTCAACAGGAAAGCAACAAGCAGGCTGAAACCAAGAAAATCACAGTTGATCACAGCCTGTGCTGTTAGCTGCATGTATAATGAACTTCTAATTATAGGAGAAAATGAACTGGAATCAGAAGGTTTGGCTCTCAACAAATATAGGCTGGAAATTAAAAGGTTCCTTGCCATTAAATTAGCAAGATCCTGGAGCACTCTGAAATAGCCTTTGATATAGGAACTGAGTTGCTTTTAAAGCAGATGTAAAAAGCATACCCATGTGGTAGAATGCAATCACCTGCAAGCAGCATGGCACATGGCCAAATTAACTGGAATTTCCCTTTTAGTCCCACTTCCATAACATGCACAGGGAGTAGATTTGCTGAGTCAGGTGGTGCTATTTGGTTCAGCTAATTTCTAGACCAGTCATGGAAGAAACTATAAAAGAAACTGCAAGAAGTGTAAGAAACAGGCCAGAGCTTCCATCCAGCTTTCCAGTTTGTGTAGTTGTCCCATTTCAGTGCTGCTGTGCATGGCCACCTGTCTGGGAAGGGAAGTATGTGCCCTAAGAGGCTTCGTGTGAGTGCTGCTGCAGGTCACCTCTCCAGAGCTCAGAATAGGTCTGAAAGTGTCTCTGTTGTTCTGGGCTATGGAAAGCTGAGTCAGGAGTTGCTAAGAGCTCAAAAAGCCATGCTTCAGAGAGCTGCAGTGTGGGAGGGAAGAATAGAAAGGCAGAGCAAAACAAAACGGAAGAGTTCTCAGTTACGTGGTTGTTGTGGTGGCCAGAACAATCAGGTGCTTTGTTGAGGTTCACAGCCGCCTACTCTGAGGAGCTCACAGCCTATTCTGCAGTAATTTAAAAATGAAAACACAAAGCACCAAGATTAGAGATCACCTAAAGAATAGTGGAGGATTCACGTTGCATAATTTGTGCTAGCACAATTGTACAAGATTCAACTTGAACCGCTAAAATTCAGTCATAGATGGTGAGATATTAAGGGGATCTGCTTAATCTGAGGTCCTCTTAAAGCACTGAAAGGGTTTGTTGCTTTTAACACAGGCATTCTTTCACACCATAGGTAAACTGCAATTAGTGATATGTAACTTCCAAGATTGTTTCCCTTCTGACCTTATTTCAGCATGTAGCAACCTGGTTTTGTGCCAGGCTGGGGTTCTAGCCCTGTGCTAACGAGAGCAGTTTTATCCATATGACAGTGTATAGATAATATTTATTTGTAACAGAGCTCTCTATCAGGACCATAGTCATATACTAACAAGGGATCTTCTTTTTCAGTTTGTTCTCAGTGTTGCAAGCGCCAGGATTCGGCGGAAGAGGGTGTGAAAGAATGCACAAAGGCACCCATGAGCTCTAAAATGACATCTGAAACCTCATCTGTATGACCAGATAGCATTTGCAGGTAGTTTTCTTCACTCTTCTCTTGGCAAAACAGTTTCTCAAATACCATGACATGCTTGTGCAATGTTAGCTGAAAACAGCACGTGTCATCCAGGTGTCAGATCTGCAGTGACATCCCCTGTGCTCATTTTATGGGCCTCCCGACTAAACACTGGGCCATGTTTCAGTGCTGTCCTGCTGGGCTCACTTGTGAGTTACTCATCCCTACCTCAGGTGCCACACGTGGCTGCACCCCCCAGAAGTTCTGGCTGATTCCCTGTGAGCCTGATCTGATGCCTCAACATGGGAACATCACTGATGATAGAAATTGAGCATTGACCAAATGGTGGCAAGGGAGGGGGAATAAAAGAACAACTCCAGCTTTCCCAGTATGATCAGACATGCCAGTCCACTTCTGAGATATGTCCATTCCCTTCACCAGCTGGAGGAACAGAGAAGGAAAAGTTTCCTTCCTCAAACTTGCCCAGAAAATACTCATATTTTAAAAGGAGTTACTTTTGATAATGGGGTGTTACAAAACATGGGCTGGGGAAGTCTGGCTTGCCAAGGTTTTATGATTACAAAGGATTATATTTGCTTTGGCTTGAAAGCTCAGCAGTTTTCAGGGCTGTATCCTCCAAAAAGACACTTAAGTGAAGATTAGCAGCTAACTGTTCTTATTCACATCATTATCCAGGTGACTGCATTTCCTGCTCTCACCACGGCATGCGGAATTGCCAGGGTAATGCCTGCAGAATTGCCAGGGTAATGCCCTAGAGCAACAGCTGTGGGGTCCTGGAAGTCACGACTTTGTCAAACTGTGCACTGCAGAATCTAAAAGTTTAATAGTTTGGAGATGGAAAGGAGGGGAAACTCTCATTCAGGCCAATTGTCTCATTTCCAAACCTGACCACCCACTCATGTTTTCCTCTGGGGAAGGCCCTGTCTGGAACAGATACTAGAGCCTTGGTTAGCATGAATTTTGGGGGGTTTTGTGATGGGAGTGGCAGGAGTTCACCTACGGAATAAACCCATTCTCTTTTGTTATAAAAGTTTGTCAGGATTTTCCTGTAGGTGGCTGGTGCTTCCCGACTCCAGCTGCAGTCTGTGGACTGGGATGGAAGCTGTGCTTCCTCAGTGGCTGACTGCCATGTCGTGATGCACTTGGCCATGTCCTAGTGCTGCTTAAATAGGGAAGCACGTTCATTAGTCATCCTCATCTGTTCCCAGGGATTTGCAGGGAGCATGGGCCAGGCTGCAGCTCGCTCAGAGCAGCTCCGAGTTCAGGCACCAGGAGCCCTCTTGTGGAAGGCTCCCGCAGGTGATACCTGTTTGTCAGCTCCGCAGCATTACAGGGCTACATTTAAGGTGTGAAAACAACAAAAAAAGAATCAGTGAAATCTTTTCCTCAGGTTCTTCACGCTGTGCATCCCGCACTGCAGACTCCACTGTTGGCTGTACAGCGACGCTTGCTGCACGGCCCCTTTGGCTCTCTGCAAGGGGGTGGCAGCAGGAGAAAACTCCGCTCCCCACGGCTGAAACTCGACCTCCTGTGGACCGATGCAAACCCCCGGCCACGCCACGGGAGCTGTGCCGTGGCCTCGTCACAAGGAGGTCGCTGGGATTCCAGGACCCTCCGTGTTCCTGCAGCGGGGCAGAAGGATGTCACCGGTGGCACGCCACGTCAAGACTTCAGCGACCTCTGGCTTGATGCTGCCTCTGTGAGAATCAGGGGCCTGCAGAGCCCTAGCAGGGTGCCCATGCCCTCCTACCCCTTCAGAAACACGGAGCTGCCCTTTGGGACACCCCAAATCCTGACATGGAACCTCGTCAGTTTGTGCCTCCATGTTGCGAGTGGGAGCAGCCAAAACTTCTTTTATATTCAGCCTTACACAAGTATCTGTTCTTCCTGCTGGAGGACTTTGGATTTGGACTCAACCATTACAGATACACATCCCTTCTCCCCTGAAGAGGAAACAGTGGACACATTTTTCATGAAAAAAAGACACTTTGGAAGTGAGTCTATGTGCCTCATGCTTATTTGCAGCGCTACGAGACTTTTTAGGGAACGATACACACTGACAGCACTCCTAAGAGTTAATTAATCTTGCTTACCTACTGCAGTGGCACAAGTTCTCATAACCTTTCTCTCCTGAAAGGACAGCCTTGCCATCCCAAGCACCGAGCCACAGCTCCTCCATTCAGCTGCTGTGTGAGGGCACACAGGGCCAAGCTTCCACGTGCATTCCTTCCCAGCCACACCTGTACAGCCCCGTTGGAACTTGTGTGACAGCCACTGGTGATCTCGTGTGTATCTGCTGTAATCAAGTGTAACTTGGGGCCTTGCTTCATAAACATGGGTCTGCTTCTGTGTGTACATCTGCCACGGGATACTCGTTAGGGAAAGCTCTGCAGATTTTTGGGAGTTTCTCACAGCAACGTGAGGATATTTACTTTGCACTGAACATTGCTGCTTTCTGCCAGTGTTCTCTCTACCCAGCCAGGACTAGAAGGAATTTCCCTACAGGATGCTAACATTGAACAGGACTCATCTGATCCAGGTGACATTCTTGCCTACTGTGTAGGAAAAAATGGCTTCTCATTTTGAGGGGAAAGGAGGAAAATTCCCCAACCCCCAATAAGCTTCCTAAGCAACTCTACCCTGAGTTTGACTGGAATGTTTTTCCCTTTTGCTCTGCAAGCTGTACCCATTCCCTCACTGTTCTATCCACATTATCAGGGCAAACCAAAGTCTGAAAGCACAGTGCCATCCTCTTTGTGGAATATGTTGTTACTTGAGCTGCTTATCTTCCTAGGACACAGCAAAGACATAGTCCATCCATTTCACTTTTTTCCTAGTTGGTACATATTGAGAAATTGCTGGAGAAAATAGGAGGATTAAACGTGGTTTATAGGATACTGAGCTCTGAGATTAAGTAAAAAATAAGACAATGCTCCCTTCCTACTCCTGCAGTCACGCTGTGCCATCACCTTTTTACTGCCTTCCCATTGTATCAAGTGCAATGGGAACTTCAGAACATTCTTACAGAGGAGTTTTAGACAGAGAAAAGGAGGTAAGCCGGAGGTTAAGGAAGCAATTGCACTTGTGTGTTCTGGTTGCAAACAGAACACAAGTGACAGAAATCAGGGCGTTTTCAAAAGGCAGCCTGACCCTATTGCAGACTTGGTGCACGAGTGATGTGTCTCACAGTTTTCAGGTTTCCTGTTCCTTCAGCCTATGCTTGCTCCAGCACAAACCACCAGCTCCTTGCAGGCTCACCACCCTCTCTTGGAGTGAGCTTCCAACTTTGCTGATTTCCAACAGTGTTCTTCCCTACGACCACACTGCAGCTGCACCTTGCCAGCCACACCACAGCTCTGCCAGTTGTACCAGCATGTTTTCCCTCTCACTATCCCATGCTCTCTTCTGCTCCTGACCAGTGATTGCGCAGCCTCCCGGAGAAGGGTTTGTCTTTTGCTCTGTGCTAAACCTTTCCACATCATCACAAACTCCAGTAACACTTCCAGTAACTCCTGCTAAAGGAATCCAAAAAATTCACTGATAAATACGTCTAGCATCAGGTTATTTGGCTCATTTTTCATTAAGCACTAATACTCTGGATCATGTTTTCTATTGCCTTATGCTGTATTCAGTGAATTGCACACAAATGGTTTCTGTGAGACCTTCTCAGCTTCATATCTGTGTCATTGTAGCAAGTGACCTGCTCTGTTTACCCTGAATGTTTTGTATATAATGTTGTTTCCTGGGGTTCCTCCTTTAGTTGTATTAAAAAATAAATGGTAAACTCGGTTTCCTTTCCTTAGTAATAAAAGATGTCTGTCTATGCAGTGGGTAGAACCTCTGTTATTCATGTTAGCCACCATTTCACAGCATCCAGGGAGGTGCAGGTTCACCTGTACCAGGCACAGCTGGCATCAAGCCACAGCTCTGTCCAGTGTGCTGACAGCAATGACAAAATGACACTCAGGCAATCCAACTTGTGACTTCCACACCCCTCATCTCTGTTTGCCAGGCGTTAGCTGAGCAGTGTAGCCACAGATCATCCTTCTCCCTCCACAGGAGGTTCTCTGCAAAAGCAAAACTCAGTGTAAGGTGTTCTCACTGTATCCCTGCTCCTTGCATTACCTACTCTGAAAGTGGAGGGTCAATCATTTCAGTGCTGTGCTTTTTCTGGGGGTGGAGGGAGTGGGGATGTGAAGAATCCTTTACAGATATATAAGAAACAAACTCCGAACCAATTCTTCACTCCCCATTCAGGAGTCCAAGAAATAAGGAAGTGCAGGGAACTAAATTCAGCAGGAAACTGAGAAACAAATGGCTGCTAATCTTGAGTGTAGCTGGAAGTCTCTGCTTCCCCTTAGAACATGTAGCAGCCCTCCCTTGCACAGAGAGAAAATCCACACAACTGCTACACCTTGGCTCAGCCTTCCCTCTCATGGAAGAACATCCCTGCATCAATGGTCAGGCGCAGGAAAATTAGTATTCTTTAGGCATCACATCAAATACCACCAAACAGGAATAGAGACAGAGCAATGACACAGCTAAATGTCATCAGAGCTGCTGTACAGATAAGAGTGTGGGATATTGGCTGGGGATGTAATAGCAAGAAGAAAGAAGATAAAAAAGAAGATGATAAGACATCGCTGTGTATGCACAATGGCAAAAATGTGACTTAGAAAGGCCCCTCTTCTTTTTTTGGGGGGGAGGAGGGGGGCAAAGGACAACACCATTACTGTCACCAACACACATAGCTTAAAACAGGAAGAGGAAAAAATATATCCATACCTCTGTTTATGCAAATCCTTCACTTACACATAGAAAAGGAGAATCAGAGCTGGTTGATGACAACCCTGAAATACACAGGTTTCTTCAATGGAAAAATGAGCTACACTGGAGTGTTTAAAAAATTAAATGCTCACTTCAGGAGTCAGAAAACACAACACCTTCTTGAAAGCAAACTGTGCCAAAAATCTGCTTTGGGTGGGTGGAATACACTCTGTGGGATTGACTGTTCATATTTCAATCAACACTAATTATCTGGAAAAGCACTCAACCAGAACAGATTCTTTTCTTATGAGAAGAACACTCAAAAATCCTGCCTGGATATAATTCCTTTTAGCAGGAGAGGAAAGAAAGGGAACAGGAATTCTGACTCCTGCTTTGGGGAGAGAGTGATGGGCCACCTCACCCTTCTGAGCACAGACAGTTTTACAGTAACTCCAGCACCACCCACAGGTAACAGCTCTGACTGAACAGTTCCTCTCTGGAACAAAATAACAGAGCTGGCACCCTATTGCCTTTGTTACTGGGTAGAGGAATGTTTGGTGGGATCTTAGAGCTCTTCTCAAGGAGTATCACTCAAGGATGCTTCTCTAGTACCAACACTGTACTAGCTTAAAGTACCAGCTGTACTGACATAAAGAGCTTATGGACACAGTCACCACTGCTCAATGGCTTTATTAAGTGTCTTGAACTACATTACCCCAAAAATTAACCCCTGATTTCCAAATTGCAAATGAAATTAGAGGCCTTCTTGTTGTTAAAACTGTCCACAGTGCCAAGCCTTCCAGTGTCACCACCAGAAATAAGTCATGTTTTCTGTGGCACCCTCTGGCTTTTATTGAGGAACCCAAAACATGCCTTTTTCAGGGTATTTCCATGTAATTCCCAGCTCCTCCACCCTTCTTCCACACTGGCTGCAAAATACCCCAAGTACAGTAGGAACCAAGTAAGAAACCACCATCAGCAAGTTGTTCAGGCACTGTCTGAAGAGCAGCTTTCACCAGGGCATAATTAACTTTTGGATTCAGGGCACCTTTAGCACACAAATCATTCATAGGCCCCTTTACCTTGAGTATTTCTACACCACTAGTGGTTTGGACATTTTCAGCAGAGAAATGGGTTCTAGATGAGGCTCTGGAACCCTCACTTCCTCCCAAAGCTAGATGACACTTCCTGGTCTGTAAAGTCTGTACTTCCACTTCTCAGGTGGAACACGTTTGGCTCTTCCAACCTCTTTGTGCAGTGATATCCATCCCTGAACAATGTTTTCAGCAAAACACTTTTTCACAGGATACAACTGCATTCACAGACAACTTCCATGATCCCTTGACTGAAGGATCAAGCAGGATCAAAATGCTATGTAGCTTCTTACAACAGAGATCTGGGGAAGACTCAGTAGCTCTTCAATTCTCTTGCTCTCTCCAGCTCTGGTCTTCCCTGAGCATTGCCTTCTGTTTGGCCTGAGATTTCAATCATACTGAGCCTGGATTGCCTAAGGAGAGAAGAGAGAGTGCAAAGCAATTTTATGCCTGTATCCTCCTGACAGAGACATGACTGCAGAATCCAAGCTCTTGAAAATTTCTTCTAGAACTAGTGAGTAAGTTTCAGTAATTCCCATGACCAGTGTCATGCCCTTTTTCCTCCCCAAGCCTCCAGCCATCCTCCTTCTTTCCTCTCTTTAATAGGGATGGAAAGAAGGCAGCAATGAAGGAAAGACTGGGAAGACTAAATCAGCATTTCTAAGACTGGTATGTGAACAACACCAACAAGCAAGAGAAGAACTGAGGTTTACAAAACCTAGTGTGTCACAGTTTCTCAAAATGTTGGAACCCACAGGCCCAGACACCCTCCTAGCCCACGACTGGAAGGGACAGAGCTGCTCCTCACCACTCTGCCAGCTTCTGTTCGTAGAGCTCCCTGCGCTCACGACTCCTCTTCTCCTGCAAGGTCTCACCAGCCAAGCCATACATTGCCATCAGGAGGCCTCCTGCAGGAACCCTGAAGGGGGAAGCAGAGAAGTCACCAGTCACCCAGGGGACACACAACAGCAACAACTTACTGGCATCAGCAAAAGGAGCATGGGGGGCCCAAAACTCACGACACCACAGACTAAAGTGCTCCTGTTCTATGTCACCCACCAACCACAGCCTCTCTTCAGCTGTGACTCACTGGAGCCCTGGTGATATTTTCAATTTACTCATTGACAGGCACACAGGACAAAGGAGTGGAAGGATTTATGGTGGCCAATGAAGATCCCATAGAACACCTAAACCACATTTCAGACAGTGACACCCCTGCTCAGCTTCCATCCAGCTCTGGAAGTACTTGTGTTTTCACTGGTAAAGCTCCCTAGGCTGCTTCCAGGCATGCCCACAGCTGACACCATCCTGATGGTGACAAGCAGCACAAATAAACCTCATTCTCTTCTTCAGGCAGGATCCTCAGATTCACTTGTGAGAATATTTACAGGTCAGCACTTTGAGAAGAAATCCCAGTCCTTCTTGAAAAGTCAGATTTCTCTTGAGTTAGAGGACATTGTCCAGAAGCACAGAGCCTCTGAGACAGAACCATGGGATCTTCCATGCTCCAGGGAACTTTAGGAGATTTATGACTACAAGACACACACGAAGACGTGTCACCTTACAGCCCAGCCATGCAGCTACTCCCTGAGTGTTTCCTAATGGCTGCTGCTTCATGTTTTAGCTTTGGTGGAGCCTATGTTGCTCCCTCTAATAAGCAAACAGCAGCAAATAAGATTCTCTACTGAGAGCACTGAGTTCTCACTACTGAGAGACCAGCAAAACAGAAAACAAGAAACAAAGAAGAAAAACAGTTTAAAGGTTGGAAGAAAAGTGATCATCATGGGGGATACAGAAAATCCCTCAAGGCAAGAGAGGAAGGGAAGCTCCTGATGCCCCAGCTGTGATTCCAGGCTCGGTGTGTGCAGCAGTCACAACTCACCCAAACGCTGTTCCAAACACGACGCCGCCCGCCAGGCCCTGCAGGCCCAAGTGCATTCTGAACAGGGCTCCTGTGAAGGCTGAAAAAAGAACAAACCCACTGAAACTGAAACAGCCCCGCCACAGACATCTCACGCCAGCACAGGGAGTTGCTTTGCTGCATTTCTCTTCTCCATGAGCTGACATCTGCTTTTACAGAGCAGAAACCAAGCGCCATGGCCAGTGGGACAGACCCTCACCACAAAGTCACCATGGTCTCGGCACTGAAACATTGCACCAAGTTCCTTCTGCTTCACAAAAACTGCCAAGGTTTTTGCTGTATCACAGAAGTTCTATGAAAGTAAAACCAAGCTCTCTCTAGGCTGGAGCATGATCTTCCTCGTCCTTTTTTCTGTTCAACAACAGCTAATAATAGTAGCTGCCATGTAAGGCAGAAAAGATCAGTAAAAAGTGTATCCAACTGTAAGGGCAATAAAGCCTGTAAAACTGAACAAGCACATCACATACCCAGAGCCCTGTTGCCAAAAGTGGGCATGCAAAACTTAGCATGAAAAGGGCAGCCTATAAACAGTGTGCTGAATTGTTACCAAGAGTGGAAATAAAAATGCTTTCCCTGTTAAATAGGTGCTTATGAGAACAGGTTATGCACCAAGTGTTGCCTTTACTCCACACAAGCAATTTTCACCCAAAACACTCCAGCAAGTGTCTTGAAGATGAACTGATAACCACAAAAATCCCCAATGGTTTCAGCAGTGCATCAGTATCTCTGTTAGAAATAAAGGCATGCAGCAGGCAAACAGCAGAGCAAAGTCAGTGGAACAAGAAGCAAAACCCAAGAGCACAGAAGCTGCCCAGTCCCAAGGGATGTGGATACTTGCTTATGCTGTTCTGCTACCGCCCTTGCTAACAAACAGAAGCACACAAGGTTACAGCACTCTTACCTCCTGCTGCAGCAAAATTACTGATGGAGGTTTTATCGCGGTACGCAGACAGGCCCGTGCTCACCACGCTGCAGAGGCAAGGCACAGAGGTCAGCAGCTGCACATGGAAAAGGAGAGGTGGCAAAACACAGCCTGAAATAAAGCTGGATTTCATTAAGCCAGCCCTCAGGTTGCCCTCATCTGTTTAGAGCACACACATGCCAGCCATGACTTCTGTGACTTTACTGTGGGCAGCTGCACAGACACAGGCCAGGGAATATCAGAGTTCCTGAACTGGATCTGAGATACTATTTTTTAATCAACCATTTTTCTTTCCTATCATATAGAATCATAGAATCAGAATGGCTTAGGTGGGAAGTGCTGTTAAAGGTCATCCAGTTGCAAGCCCTCACTGCGGGCAGGGGCACCTTCCGCTGGACCAGGTTGCTCAGAGCTCCATTCAGCCTGGCCTTGAAAACCTCCAGGGATGGGGCATCCACAGCTCCTCTGAACTACCTGTTCCAGTGCCCAGGAACATGTAATATAGTCAAGGAGAAAAGAATTTGAGCAATGAAAAGGTGCTGTCAGTCAGCCAGTCCTGATGTAGGACGTTTACCCCAAAAGCTGCTGCACGTGTCAGTAAGATCCTGCCTTGCAAACAGCCCCCAGTACAACAGCCTCAGTCACACTCGTGACATCAGCAGGGTCACCTGCTCTTGTGGCAGCAGATTCCCCTCTGGGGTGGTAAACCAACTCCTCCTAAACATCAGCTAAGCCCCAAAATACTGTTCTCAGTTCAGCAGCCACATATTCCCCAGCCTCCTGCGTGACATTGACAAGCCAGCAGCAATCCTCCTCTCCTTCCCAACACAGATAAACCCAAACAATTTGGGGTTTAATTGTGAAACCTAGAGTTTTCACAACTGCAGGACGAAATTTTCAACTTGGGTTTTACAAGGAACAATGTTGAGCAGCAAACAGGTTCGTTCAGAACCTTTTCCAAAGGGCTGGTGAAAAAGGGGCTGATCCGACTGCAGGGGAGACACCTGGTGGAAGATGACGAGGTTACATGTCAAATCCAAAGAAATCCAGAAAACCCAAAGAAATCAAAAGCTCCGGGAGAGAAAGCAAACAGCACACTAACTAAGCCTAAAAACAGAGACTAAACTAAAAGAAGCCACAGAAAACAAGAGAGAGTGAGGAAGAAATTTAGGAAGGAACAAAAATATTAGGGAGACAGAAATATAAAGTAATGCCAGTCAATACTGTGGGATCATAAAAGCAGGAGAACTTAAACAGAACATACCTGCAGAGAAAGTCAATGCAGGTTTAAATTTATAAATTGACTAGTTTGAACAACAGGGAAGGAGATATTTCTAGTTTAAAAGGGCTTTGCTCAGAAGACCATGCTTAGTTTGATGCTCTATTGTCACAAATGCACTGAAGCACCCAAGGAAGAAAATCGGGGCAGCAGAACACTCTCTGCATTGGTTTTGTGTGTGTAGGAAAAATCTGAAGGCCTAAACAGGCACATAGAAGTGACAGATCTGATATTCAGCAACTGCTCAAGAACAAGACAATCCCCTGCAAGTGTCTGAGGACAAGAACAAAGAATTGTAATACCAGTGTACACAAAGCAGAAGTGACAATTGTGAGTACCACCAGCATATACAAACTAGGAGTAATGAGACACAGCAGAAAGGACAAAAATCAATGTGGGTTAGAAAGCACTTCCAGAAACTGCCAACACACTTTAACACTCCCTCGGAGAAAAAGCACAGAAAGAGACGAAGGAAAAACAGAAAGCAGCTGCCAAGAAAGAACAGTATTGATGTACAAACAGGGCTTTTCCACATTTAGGGTTTGTGTTGATCCATTAGAAGATGAGAATTCTGGGGCAATTCTAACAGGTTAAACCCTCTTTGTGCTCCTGATCAACCAGACTCAGGTTAAGGCAACAGCAGGAGCCTCAGTCAGTCACCAGAGCTGTGGGCGCTGCTGGCAAGGACAAGCAGCAGCACGGGGCAGCTCTGCTCCGCTGCCATCAGGGAACACTCACTTGAATATCGTGGCGAAAGCCGCCACCCTCCAGCTCCAGCGCCAGCCGTAGCGGATGAAACTCCGGAGACCAGCGCGGTGCGCAGATTGCTGAGGGGACAGAGCGCCAGAAAAGGGAGGAAAACCAAAAACTACTTCATTATTATGAGTTCATAAGTATTAATAAATAATAACCATCAATAAACAATAGGAAGTAAATAATAACCATCTACATTAAATGTTAAGATACCATCAAGCTCTGCTTTTTAACACTGGCACTTAAAAGTTTGAAGAGTTTTTATTTTTAAATAAGTGGCAAACAGAAGCTTCACAAAAATTAAAAATTTTGCCGTTAATACCATGAAAGTAAATAAATTTTCTCTTCCAGTGCTTGTGATACAGGTGCGTAGCCTGGGTTCAGATATACCACAGTCACCAGGCAGTGGTAATTCGCAGGTCACCACAACAGAGGCCAAATCTAATTGTAAGCAATACAAAATTTACATCAGGCAGATTTTTGAAGGGTTTTTCTTCCTCATAATCCAGCTAACCAACACTTTAATGGAATAACAAACACCCAGACGTTCCAATACATCTATAAAATGTCACAGATGTTCTTTGTTGTGCTGTTGTTCTAAAAGAATTTTAAATGGTCTAAAAATGACTCACATTAATAAGACAGGAGTACAATCCCAGTTTGATACTATGAAGTCTCCCGCCAGCACGCTAAAACTTAAAAGCAGAAAGCCTTTTGGAGACGCATTAATCAGAACGGTGAACTTTGCTGCCAACCTTCCGTGTAACGAAGGACGCTTTTTTGAAGCAGTTTGGGTGACGGGACACGCGAATTCCCTGACCTGCGCTCACTTCCACACTCCCAGCAAACTTTCTGTCCCAGACCCGGGCAAACACACGCGTCCCACAAACACGAGCCCGCCGGGCCTCCAGCGGCTCCGCCGCCGCCCCAAACCGCGCCTCCAAGGGCAACTTCCAGCACCGGGGCCCTCCCGAGGCCTTCCCCCCGCGCGGCCCGGGCCCGTACCACGGCATCGGCGCGGTTCTGGAACATCTCGCCGTGGCTGCTCTCGATGAAGGCCTTGCGGGCGCTGACGAAGGCGGGCAGCCCCCCGTAGAGCCAGCCCACCACGCCCGCCGTGAAGGCCGACTTGGCGATGTTCATCGTCTCCTCCGGGAACTGCTGCTGCTCGCTGCAAGGCAAGGGCAGCCATGGGAGCGGGGTCGGCACGGCGGGACCGCCACCACCCAGCCCCGCCTGGCCCATCCCACCCCGTCCCACCCGAGCCCGGCCCGGAGCTCACTCGAGCCGCCAGAGCTCGCTGACCCGCTCCCAGCCCGTCTGCGGCAGCGGCGCGGGGCGGCCGAAGCCCGCCGGAGCGCCGCGGAGCTCCGCCATGGCCGGGCCGGCGGCAGCGGCGGCTCCGCGCCACAGCGCCCCCTGCGCCCCGGCGGGGCACGGCGCGGAGCGGGGCGGCTCCGAACCGCTCGGCACCGCTCGGCCCGGTTCCGAACCACTCGGCTCTGCATTAATTACTGAGTAATGACTCCAAATATTTGCCCGTTTGTGCCGGGCCGGGTTTGTTCCCCACGCGAGAGAGGAGCTGAGTTTTGGGAGCTGTGATGCCCGGTTTGCATAGGGCAGAGGGCGCGCAGCCCCCGGCTCTGAGGCCGATAAGAGGCAAATGCTGCACGCGAGACGGTGCCTCTCATGGGGCTCATGCCTTCCCTAAAACAACTGAACTCCCTCCGTTGTTTCACCAAAGCAGTGAAAGCTCCCCACCAGGGGAGGTGCCTGGGCCTTGCCACCGAGCCTCTGCATATTTTAAGCCATTGGACTTGAATTCCCGGGATTCTTCCCCCACTTCTGCGGCACCATCACTTTGGCCAAGGGCCACCTAAGCTGCATCAAGTCTCATCGCAAGATCTACGGGACTCTGCAGACCTCTTATTACTCTTCTGATGAAGCAACATGCCTCCAACAAAACTTCATTTTTGTTTGTTTTATTCCAAAAAGCACTTCATTACAAATGGTTTTAAAATATCATACAGAGCTGCTCCGTTTCTTGGAGTGCTGTCTCTCTGTTGGCTAAAAATAGAAAACCAGAAAACCCTTTCCACTCTGGCACAGTTTTCCTGGGAAATCGGGTTCTTTTAATGCCTTCTTTTTCCTTTGCTGGATGGGATAACCCCAGCACTGGTCCCAAAACCAACACACTGCCCCAGCAACCAGCACTTGATCAATAGGACCAGCTGCTGTGTACCAGGGCTGCAAGGCCTCTGTGAGGGCACACACGCACTTAAATATTATTGTTCCATGCAATTTCCTTCTTCCCTGATCCACCCTGACTGCAGAAGGGCCTGAGAGCTGTTGCTGTCATCCTCTTCCATTATAATGTGCTGCTCTCTGAGCCTTGAGGCTGCTTTACCAACAGGGGTGCTTCCCTGGGAAGCTCCTGTGTCCCTCCTGCCACCCACACTATTCCTGTCTGGGTGCCAGAGAAGATGCTGCTGCCTCCCAGCCTCTCACCTTAGGGGGCACAGAGCATTTCAGGAACTGCAGTCCTTCCTAGCCAAGAGGCTGTGGTGGGCATAAACACAGCGAGCCCAAGCAGCCTGTGACCACCTTAAAAAGGGCAATGTGAGCAGTAGCTGCTACTGTGTGACTGAAGATATTCCCTCAATCAGGCTGAAGGAGATGAAAAAAGAAGTGGCACAGCTGTGGGGAAGAAAAGCAAGTACTGAAGTGAGCAGATGTATTATCAGTTAAAAAAAAAAAAACCAAAAAAAACAAAAAAAAAAAAAAAAAAAAAAAACCAAAAAAAAAAAAAAAAAAACAAAAACCTAAAAACACCCCAAACCAAAATCCCCAAACTAATCCTAGAAAGATTACAGAAGGGGATCAGAGCAGACTGCACTTTTGGAAAAAGGAAGTGCTGAATCTACCTCTATGAATACTTTCTCTGGGTTCCTAAGGATGACATCCCAGAATGTCTGGCCAGGCAGCTGGTGAGAGATAATTAAACAGGGGCTCAGTTGTGCAGGGCTGTGCAGGCACCCAGCTCATCTGCTGGAGGATGAACCACCTCTGTCTCAGTTGCCAAGCACATCACTGATGATGGCCCCATGCTGATCCCCTGTCAGGTAGGTAGGGTAACTCTGCAAGGATCAGTTATCCTTTCCAGGGCATGTCAAAACCTTACCATCAACCTCTAAAACCCACCATAAACTCTAAACTGTCCAGAAATGTTACCCCTAAATCCCAGTACCTGCTTCTGACAGAGCACTCCTAATACCCCAGGTGCTATCACCCAGCTGAGAAAACAACATTTGCCAAACAAAGGGGTAGGGGTTTACTAGCTGAGCACAGCTCACAGTCCATGTCCTTTGCATGACCTTTGGTAAAAAGTCCAGTAAGGCTCCTCATGGACTGAATGGGATTTAGGATCATTTTGAGACAGGTAGCAACTAAGTCCTAAATGCTAACATCCCTCTTTCTAGGCATGACTGACCACCCCATTAAATAGCCTTAATCCAATATGCTGCTTAACATTCTTCTGGTGACAATATAACCAGGTCCCAGTGCCTGAAAGCAATGTCCAAGTCAGCCTACTGCTGACTTCTCTGAAGTTCTGCTATGAAAGGTAAGTCTGAGAGAGCAAGAAACAAGTTAATACTGATCTTCAGATTTCCACAGTGATCAGTTTGAGCCAAACAAAAAAACAGAGAAGTCTCTACAGTTCTGTTTTCAGCTGTCCAGAAGTGATCTCACTGTAGCTCTTCCTTCTTTTCACTTTATAAGTCAAGTTTTGGGAATATTCAGACAGCAGATGTTCCCAGTAGCAAGAGATGTCCTCCATCTCCAAGTGCTCAGTGATGAACTGACGTCCCCTAGAGAACACAAGGCACAGTCAGGCCTGTTTTCTACAAGAGTCATTAGTTTTGGTTTGGATGTATATCAACTTTCACACTTCCTTATTTCAAATGAGAAACATGCACTGCTCTGTACCGTCTGTTTTAATTTTACAATTTTCATTCATGCTCGCAGCTCTGACGTTGCAGTGCTTTTGCTATCCTCAGGATGGTATTTGCTATCTGGGATAATAAATATCAGATTTCACTTATCACATGCAGCTAGAGCAGCACTGATGCATGCTGCTTCAGACCAGCCTGGATAGATAATGTTTACATTGCAGACACAGCTCCCAGGAGCCAGCTTGTCTCATACTGAAACGAAAGCTCCCAACCTCTGCCAGTTTTCCATGGGGTTCCTGACATGGGTCATATGTGAACCAAAGAGCTAAGCACAGCATCCTGCTTTCTGCTTCCCTCTGCTTGCTATCACTGCTCCAGCCCTCCTGCTGTTACTGCAGAAGATCAGTTATGCTGCACCCTACTAATACTGGGTTGTCTTTGATGGGCAACCCCTTCAAAAGCAGTGCAAGAAAATGTTTTGGAAGAAGACTGCCTAATAGCCAGGAAGGACATACTGCTTACCTCTCTGAAATTTCTTGTGCTATGGCATCATTTTCCTTTACAAACTGCAAGAGCTCCCTAAAATGAAGACACACACAAAAAAAAGGTATGAAACAACTGGCTCAGTGGAGAACATCACCCCTTGGCTGAACTGTTGGGGAGGGTGAAGTTAAGAGTCTACAAGTGAGTGAAGGTGCTGCTCACCTCAGAGCACAGAAGAAACTTCTCTTCTTGATTGTTTCACATCAGTTCTGGACAACATCCTGAAATCTGGGAGCTAACACATTTTTGGCCCACTGATAAGTTCTTCTTCCCCCTTATCTCTGCTGCTCACTTGCAAATTTAAGAGTCTAGTGCCTGCTGATTTCAGTGAGAGTGAAAGACTTGCACCAGTGAAACTGTACTCCCCAAGTAATATCAGCAAAGGACTCTCTGGGGGCAGTGATGAAGAGAAAAGACCATGAGCTCCAAGAGTCGCTGCCTGATGCCTCGGAGAGGAGGCATTTCATGGCCTAACACAAACCATCCCCCATTCCCAAAGGCTTCCCAATTGCATGGAATGCTGCACGGAGCAGCCTCAGCCCTCACACCTGACATCAGAGAGGTCTGACCGCACCGGGATGTAGTGGACCCAAGGCTTCAGCTGGGAGTAGAAGAACTCCAACCACTCCTCTCCGACATGAAAGACGAGCGAGCCGCACAGGAAAAGGTGCTTCAAGCGGAAACTGGCCGCCACTCCTCGGAAATTAAACAGGTACCTTTAAAAGGGTGAGCAAAGAGAGGCACCTGATTACACATCTTGTGTCAGGAAATGCACTAAGGTGTGCTGGTCTCCAGGTAGCAGTGAACCTTCCCTGGCAGGCAGCAGCTGAGCAGCACACCAGTCACTAGAACAGAGGAAAGGCATTTATTTCAAGCTGCTCACAGGAAAGGTGAGCTGAAGAGGAGTTTCTGCTATCTGTCAAAACTCAGTGAGAAATTCAAGGTGTTAGGCTTTACCTTTGATAAAGGCACCTGCCTGTGACAAACCAACGAGGCCTCACGGACAATTGCCAGCAAGGCATGGAAGGTCACAACATGGATTCTGTGACCCTGTGGGGTCACCCAGAGGTTTTGTCAACCACAAGGAAATTTTTCCCAATTCTCTCTTGCCTTGCAGTGAAGTTGTTCTGTTCACTGTTGTGCTTTGCCACATCTATCTCAGGTTACTTTTTCCTCTGGGATTCTGCTTTAATCTGAATGTAATTGTTTCATATTAACTTGGGAATGCAACCCTAGGAGGTTAAATGGGCCAGCACACAACTGATGGACTTCGCAGATAACAAAGAATCCACAATTTTGTTTTCAGTATTTTCTGCCAAGTTAGTAAAGTGGGCTTGAGTCTGGCAAGGGGATATTTCTCTTAGCAAACTGTATCTCATAGGGATGTTTGTTTGCTTACTTGTTTTCCTTATCAAACCCACATTTCTCCTATTATATGGAAAGCTGTTTTTCCTACGGGTAAATCTCCCCAGAACATAACTGATCTTTGAAGTCAAACATTTTAGGCTGGGGGAAGAGAGTTCTTCCTTTAATGAAGTTATTTTGGGTGATATGGAGCTTATATATTATATATATTTTGGGCAAGATGGGAATTACAGCTAAACTTAGCACAGCAAACAACAAGGAGTAAATCTGAAATTACTTTGCATCCTTTGTACTACCTAGGATCTCAAGGCAGGGATGAGGAGCTCACTGTGTAAGGAACTCAGCAAACACATGTAGAGGTGTAACAAAAATGATGGTCTGGAAGCAAGCAAATGCCTCTGTCCAATTCCAGACACAGCTCCCCCCATCCATGACCTCAGCCTGTGTAACACCTACACTGAAAGGAGCAGACAAAAGTTCATGTTGACCCTACCACCCTGGGCTACAGCAAAAGTGTGTGAGAAGGTCTCAGCCTGCACCATATGATGGGC